TAAGCAAGAAAATCGTAAGCGCCAGCGCTAATTGTAGTCAGCAACATAACGTTGTCGTTACTGCGCATGCGATAAATCTCCAAGAATCTTGGAGATTTCATCGTATTTTACCAGGGTCTTCCTCAGCTCACGCGCCACTACGAGGAAGACCCTGGGGACGAGGTTGGATTCGACTCCGACACCCGAGAATTAGAATTACACCAGTGCCTTACTTTTGCCCCTTCAATACTTCATGTAAACTCGTCCTATGCGCACGAGGCAGCTTTTGCCCAGCCACTGATGTGCCCAGCACCTAACCATGTGAACGGGCATACTCTGGGTTCGAGATTTGACGCTTACGCAACTTACTTACATTCGGAATGCTGTCCCCAAATGTTATTGAAGAAATGCCAAAACAACATTTAATAATTGAGAGAGATATAGCTTATCCAAAATTGAAGGGTTTCACAATTGGTCACTTAAATATTGCTAGTTTACCTAAACACAATGAAGAACTCAAAATACTCCTGAAAGAGATACCTTTTGATATATTGTGCATTAATGAAACAAGGCTAAATAACCTAATTGACACTAACACAGTAAGTATACAAGGATATGATATCCTAAGGCGAGATAGAAATCGATACGGTGGAGGGGTTGCAATTTATGTTTCTTTGAAGTTTCTGTCCTCGCGCATGTCGCATAAAGGCAATTTTCCATTGCGGTCGCTTTGCCCGCGCGGGTGGAGCGACCAGTTTTAATCACGTGAAAAATCAGTCGCGCGGGCACGTCAAGAAAGTAGTTCTACTTTCATGGCGTGTCCGCGGGCATTTGCAGTCGCTTTGCCAGCGCGGGTGGAGCGGGCTTTGAAAATCTGCTCACGCGTGCGTGACGGGCGTCAAAAACAATGGACGCTTATCGCGCGCGGGCAAAGCGAACGTTAATGGAAAACGGCCTTTACGCATGTTGGCCGCCATTTTCCTAGCAAGTCAATGACATTTTCTGGCGAATAAACACACTGTACTGGCTGGCTGCTCCACCTTCTGGCCAGTAAACTGCATATTTTTGCATAAAAAACGAGGACACGTTCATTGAACTAAAATATATTTTAGTTCAATGGACACGTTGCACCGCTGAGTGGCCCTTCTGTTACTGATCTTTATTCAGTGCCAACAACACCTAAATACCACAGAATAATACATTCCAAAAGTATACATTCCCTTGGATTTCACCGCAGACTGAATAAAATCTAATTCAGCACAGTAAATACTAAGTTACTAAGTCTCACTATCTACACTGCCACAGGTCGTTCGCAACTTTATAAAGCCTTTCTTACGCAAAAACAAAACGGCTTAGGACGTAGCAAATGGCAACTATCATCAACTATGCAGCTTGGGAACTGCCAGCTAATTCATTATCGTTGTTACTTGTTGGGTCTGCATAAAGTGTGAGTCAGCGAGGCATGCCCCAAAACATGCGAGTCACACCTGAATACTGCCGGGGAAAAGCCGGAAAAATAGTCAGTGTTTGGTATTTGTGGAAACATCACGTATTCACGTTCATTTTGTATTACTTAAGCCTAGTTCACATAAAATCGTTAAGCATTCGCAGATGTCTGCATGTGGTTACGTGTAACCATGTAGTTGCTTCGCAAACATCCGTGAGTCGAAAAGTTTGTCCTTTGCAAACCTTAAACTCTTAACCTTAAACCTAAGCGCGCAAAGTTTCGTGGGAACACAACTAGTTTCAAGGTTAGCTAGTAGTTGAATATTGCAGCTGTTTGTGAATGAATTGTTCTCGTAAGGCGATATTTACCATGTCTCTACGAAATGGGCCCCATATATGATTTCCAAACTGATGAAATGATGCTCCCATTTGCTTTGCACGCTTAGAGTTTAAGGTTTAAGGTTTAGAGTGAAGGTTTGCAAAGGACAACCTTTTTGACTCACGGATGTTGCGAAGCAACATCTGTACGTGAGTCTTTGTGGTTACTTGAGTGTGGGGCAGTTAATGACTTAATTAAAGTGTTAAACATTGGGAAATGACCAGCCCGCTTTGCGCACACTGTTTGCCTGCGAATCGGGCCTTTCAGAACCGGAAATCGGGCTGGAGCATGCGGCAAATGGCAAAATTCGCACGGTGCCCATACGCGTTGATCTCATCCGTGAGTCGGCCTCAACGTCTTTTGATTTGAATTAGCTGTAAATGCATGAAATTGTGTACACTAACATATTTGCTCAATATAATTCGAGGTCGATTGACAAGTTTACATTTGCACCCCTGATGTTTGTTTAATTCAGTACAGGAAATTGATGTCATGGCCTTTGATCATATGACTTCACATTTCCAAGTATTTTGAATATTCATGGTTTTTCTTTATTGCAAAGTGAAACCAAGGCGAATTCGGAAGTGTTTCAAAAACCGCAAAACCTCACCAAGAGCTCACAATTTATTCGCTTTACAATGTAATGTAATAATTAAATCAGATAGTGAATCATCTTTGCAGGTATCTAATTGTACTTGGTCTACAAAGATGTCTTATTGCCCGACAGTTGAAAAGTATGGCTATGAAGACTGTCGATTTGAAAGCAATGTCGACGAAAATTTTCATTGTTCTATATGCTATAATGTTCTCAAGGAACCAAGGATGTGTACAAAGAATGAACACGTCTTTTGTCTTGCCTGTATCACTCAGTATCTGAGTGTAAACTCTCAAACTTGTCCGGGATGTAGCGAACACTTGAGTGCAGATACGCTACGTCGAGCACCGCGTGCATTGAATAATTATTTATCCAATCAAAGGATAAATTGCGATTATGCCAATCGAGGATGTCCAGAGTTTACCGGTGTTGAAGAACTCAAAACTCATGTTGCCAATTGCGACTTTGCTCCTGTGTTGTGTTCAAACCGCGAGGAATGCAGTATGGTAATTAACAAGAAAGATAGAGTCCATCACGAGACTGTACTTTGTGAATATAGAAAGTCAAAGTATTATAGCTGTGAACAAATAGAAGAAGATGACGGAGCATTGAAAGGAACTTTAATGGAATTGGATGGCGGAGTAAAAACTGCTAAGCTGAAAAAGTTAGAGAACAGTCATGTTGAGATGGAAAAGACCGTGGGAAAGTTGGAAGGAAGTTTTGTGGAACTGGATGAGAACGTGCAAGCAGCAACTCAAAGGATAGAGAACAATCATCTTGAAATGGAAAAAATTGTTGGAAGATTGGAAGGAAGTTTAGTCGAACAAGTGGAAACAATAAATAAAAGGCATGATGAAATTCAACAAGAAGTAAAGAACGAAGTCAGAGAAGTTAGGAAAGAAGTAAGAGATGTGAAAGAGAATCTTTCCAAAATGAACAAAGAAGTGGATGAAGTCAAGGCCATGATGAGTCAAATACTGGAAAAGATAAATGTGCTCGAACGGATGAACGAACTGCCATCTCCGACAGAGGAATTGTTGAACAACCTAAAGGAAGACATTTTAGTTGCAGGTGGATATTGTCTTTCGGTGAAAACTAGCAAAAGTACTGAAATTTATTCCTGGGAGAAAAACGGTTGGTTTGAAGTGTCACCAATGAATGATGAGCACATTGGAGCTTCATTATTTAGTTATAAAGATCAGTTATTTGTCGTTGGAGGAGACGGTAGCAAGAAGATAGAGACCTTGGATCTCAATGAATTCCCTTTGAAATGGACGAAATTTTCTGGAGAACTTCCTAACAAGTGTGATGATCACCAAACTGTTGTTTACGGACAGCGTGTCATTCACATTGGTGGATATATCTCTGGCAAATCGAAACGGTCCAAAGTGATTAGTGAATTGGAACTTACTTCACCTTGCACTTTGAAAGAGTTGTGCCAAATGCCTGAGCCAAGAGATTGTCATGGCGCTGAAATACTCGAAGATAAAGTCTTGATCCTGGGAGGACAAAAATCTCACTATTGTAAACATGCTATGGAGAGTGTGTTGGAGTTTGATGCGAAGAAGAATGAATGTAAGGAGTTGCCACCATTACCACATCCTTTGACGGAACTGGCAACGGTTCGCTGGCGAGATCAGGTAGTCGTTCTTGGAGGTCGTGATAAGAATGGTCAAGTTCTTAATGATGTTTTCATGTATGACTGCAAGACGGGAAAGATCACAGTCTTACCATCCATGTTGGAGAAGAGATATGAATGCTGTTCAGTTATCACTGGAAATACAATTGTAGTCATGGGAGGTATCAATGAGGCAGATGAATTTCTCAATTCAGTGGAGTGTTTTACAATGGGAGGTTCTACATGGGATTATCTTCCTGCCATGAATAAAGCCAGGTACAGAGCAGTTGCTGACGTTTTGCCTTCCCCACACAAATATGTGTGACATTTATTAAGACGTTTATTAAGCCTGGTTCACACTAGCAACTCTATCGGCGATTTCTTTCCTCCTGGCAAATGTGATCGAATGAATGACGTGCAAAAGGCTTAGAATTGTTTACTTCTGAAAAGCGAATCCACTCATTTGCATCCGTCAAAAACACAAAATCGGCGACAAAATTGCTAGTGTGAAACAAGCTTTTTGAAGTCATCAGTAATCAGTAAGGTACCATTAACGCTTAACTGTGTTGTTTTGTAAAAAGACGAAAAGGATACTCCGTCTTTTCTAATACTCCAGTACTCTTCGGTATCAATCCTGACTGTGGCGATCAAAATTGCACGAGTCCGAAGGACGAGTGCAATTTGAAGTCTTTGAAACTCACGAAACATGTTTTTCCAAATTACACGAGAAACCATATTATTACTTGTTAATGATATACATGCAGAAAAGTTCAAACGCTTCGCGATAACACTTGTGCACTCACCTACGCCATTTAAGCATTGTTTTCATTGTTTATTAGCAAACCTTTTCAGTTTATGTGCTCCCTGTACAAAAAATTGTTATATTCAAGTACAATTTTACATTGAAAGTGTGCAAAATTCGTCAAAAAAGTGGGCATTTACATTGCTACTATCTGCCGCTAGCCAATCGCCGGCCTCCTCCGCAGGCATCTCATGGTTCACTTAGAAAGTCCGCCAATCTAAAGGAAATGCCTGCGGAGGAGGCTAAGCCAATGAGAATTGAGTAATTTTTTCATCTATTATAATAGTATACTTTTTGTCTTTTTACAAAGTGATGCAGCCGAGCGTTTAATGGCTGTGACGTGACGCGCCATGGAGCGAGGGCGCAAACTTAACTCCTCTGCATTTAATGCACATTTTATACTGCTACTTTTACAAAATTAGATAGATAAATAGATAGTTTATTCATCTCTGATCATATATAACCTCCAATTCTGAAGAGAATCTGCAAAAAAGCAGACTTTACAATTATGAATAAATTATTATATAAGTAGCTACAATTTATTAAAAATAGTAAAAAGTCAATATTAAAATTTTAAAACGTAGTTATAAATTATGAAAGTGTCAATATTTGCAGTTAATTAATCTACACTATTCGTTAACTTGTATCAAAATGAGATCATGCACTTTCCGCCTGAAATGCCACGGTCTTCATTTTATTTATAGTCAAGAAGATTTTGAAGGCCTGCATGCACTGCTCGTGGCCTTGTCCTGTGCCCCGTTTAATAATATTTCCATTTATGATTGCGATCGTTGGTTTAACATTGATGATCGTAAGTTGCAGTGGAAAGAATTATTTTATGACTGCAGTGCCAGTGAAGGAACATATCCCTACCAAATTCATAAAAGACATTAATTTTCCGCCGTTGATATAGATAAGGAAGTTCGACATTAATTCGAAAGAATTAGTCCGATTTCTAAAATTATTTACAATCGGTGCTACAGCAACAAATTCAATTGACAAGCAGAACTTCTCAATGCCTATTTTACCTCTGTGTTTTCCAAACCAACTGTAAACACGGATTATGCTAATTTTCTAAATCACCAGGGGCCGGTTGTATCAAGCCCGTTTAGCTTAAACGGTGTATAAGTCAAAATTAAATAACACTCTTATATCTTTCGTGAATCAGTCAACTCAAATTTTATTCACTAAATATATAGTTGTAAACATTATCGTTCTGTTAAGGTTCAAAACTTTTAGTTTGGTTGTTGAATGAATGTATAGACTTGCTTTCTATTTTGAGCTTAACCACCGTTTAAGCTAAACGGGCTTGATACAACCGGCCCCAGGAGTTTTGTCCTGAACTTGACGAATTTCAATTGACTACAGATGATGGTGCAGCTTATCTAAGTACTTTGGATATAACAAAAGCGTGTGGTCCAGACGGAATTCCAGCGCGTCTACTTAAAGAATGTATTTTTCAGGTTGCACCCAGTTTGTGTGAATTATTCAATTATTCCTTGTGTATAGGCCGTCTTCCTTAAGAGCGGAAAGCGGCTGACATTAGTCTGATCCATAAAAATGATTCAAAAGATCATGCGGAAAATTATAGACCCATATATCTCTTTTGCCCGTTAATTGTTGCTAAAGTATTGGAACGATGTGTAGGTACAGGACTATATATGATCACCTATTTCTCCACTGCAACATGGATTTGTAAGTAATTGTTCGATCGTGCGTTACTCAACTCTTGCAATGCTTCTAAATCATTCAATCGGACAAAACTTAGACAATAACATCCAGACTGACATTCTGTATTTATATTTTGCCAAAGCCTTTGACTCTGTCGATCATAGTTTAATTCGTATCGACACTATCTTGCTAATCGGCCCCAAAGAGTTGTTATGGAAGGGTTGCCTCTGACTGGACACTCGTTACTTCTAGTGTGCCTCAGGGCAGTATACTGGGACCAATGCTGTTTGTACTATTTCTAAACGACCTAAACGATCTGCCAAATGTTGTGCCACAAAAAAACGAAAGTTGCCTTATATGCTGATCACAATCATCACACCAAAGCTTTCAGAAGAATAGCTTCTGAATGTGATACTCGTGACCTACAGCACGCTCTGTCTAATTTGATGAATTGGAGTAGTAACAACAATATTTCATTTAACGAGTCTAATTAAATGTAAGGTGATGTCAGTTAACTTACTCGGAAGAAACAACCTACTCTCTTCCCTACCATCTCAACCTGTTTTCCATCCTTAACGTTGACAAAGAAAAAGATCTCGGCGTAATAATATCCAATAACCTTGTCTTGGGATTCTTATATATTCACACTATAACTGCCAAAAGAAATAGGATGCTAGAGTTACTAAAAAGAACATGCCCTCTTTGGACAGATATCAAAGTAAAGCGAACACTGTATTTGGCTCTCGTCAAGTCACAACTCTGTTACGCTAGTGAGGTCCGGTATCCTCGCTGTAGTTCAAAAAATCAAATTGGAGCAAGTACAATTAAAGGCGCGCCACTAGATGGATCTGTAAAGTAAAGGTAGGAGACGTTACGTACAGCGACAGGCCCATCGAATCTTGATCTTTTGCCTCTATGCTATGATCGAGAAGTAAGAGTCTTGATGTTTATCTATAAAGCTCTCCATGGTCTGTAATCTGCTATCTGCATATGATTTATAAGTCTCCTTTGTTACTCATGGCCGAACACTTCTTTGTATAGTAATTCCACTCTTGTTTTAAAAATACCATTTCGTGAAACAAATAGTTTTATGGTTTCATACTTTAATCCGCGAATTGTAAAGATATGGTCATGGAACTTATGTAAAGTTGCCCCATGTAGTAGCTTTACTAGTGTAACCTCTTTTAAAACGCTCCTGATCAAACATTATAATGTACTTTTGCGGATTGTTTTTTATGCAAACTTGACCTGTACTTGGTCGGCAATCGTATAAGAGATTATATACTTATCTTAGCGGTAGTTAAGAAGGCGCGTTTACGCACTGCGATTGGTCGGGCTTAAGCATAATTCAGGATCAGTAAACTCAATGTTTTTAACAATAAAAATGTTTTAAAATGTTAAAAACATTAAGTTTGCTGATCTTGAATTAAGCTAATTGATTTTCCTAGTTAGTTTTTTCAATTAAAAGGCAGCACGATCAGAAATTTCTACGTTTGCCCCGGGAGGATTGGCCACAAAATGTGTTGAAGATTGACGACAAAGAAGTATCCAAAGAAGCTCACAATATCGTCTGCACTGTGAAGACATGTAACCCAATTGAACCCAAGAAACATTCGAGTTGGAGAAAGTTGATCAGAATTACCGGATATGTTTTGAAATTCGCTAGAAAGATTCGTAAGAAGAAAACTTATGAGACCCTCGAACAGTTAGGAAATCCTGATCCCAAATACCTTAGTGCGCAACAATTGAATGAAGCTGAAACATACTTGATAAAAGACGCACAGAAAGATCTTCATAATCGAATCAAGAAAGGAGAGCTGACAACGTTAGGTCCATTTACAGATTCTGAAGGAGTTATGTGAGTCGGTGGAAGAGCAGACAAAGCTACAGTATCTTATCATCGAGTCAAAGCACCCCGCGTTGCTACTCTATGCCAGTTGGATATCCCTCCTTATTACCCGTCAGTCACACAATTTTGTTCATAATAGAGCCGCAACTACAGCAGCGGAAGTTCGACGAAACTACTGGATCATAAGAGGACATGATCTTGCAAAGTCTGTTAAACATAAATGTGTGTTTTGTAAAGAAATGCAACCCAAAGCCGAAGTCCAAGTTATGGCCGACCTACCCCACCGTTCCACTTCCACGTCACGTCATGTGATTATTTTGGTCCCTGCGAAGTAAAGATCGGACGCAACAAGACCACACAGCATTACGGTGTAATTTTCACATGCCTCAACACACGAACAGTGCACCTAGAGTTAGCAGTTGATTGTACAACCATGGATTTTCTACACAACCAGTCGGAGCAGTAGCTGAGCTTCGAAAGATGGTCAAAGGACTGGACGCAAAAAAATTACGAGAATTCTCAGCAGAAAAGGGAATGGAATGGAGATTCATAACCCCTGGAGCTCCACATCAGAATGTTGCGTGGAAGCGCTTGTTAAGAGCGTGAAGACTGCTTTGAAAAAAATCAATTGGTGATTCAGCGTTGACACCCTTCGAACTTTACACTTGCCTGCTTGAAGTCTAGTTAGCCAGCGTCCAATCGGAAGAATCCCAAACGACCCAGACGACGGTACATGTGTCGAACTTGTGTCGGCACACTAAAACTCTCGTATTATGTTTTAGTAAAGTTCAATAAACTATAAAAACTCCCACTTCTTATAGAAAACTCTCGCTCACAAGTCTCACATGTTCGTTGTTTTTCCCGATACTCAGGTCGCCCGCGAACAGGCTTGTTTCCCACAGTAACCCAATACACCTATCTCTAATATGTTCGTTCACGCTCCCCTCTAAAATTAAATGTTTTTCTTAATTTTATAATTAATATCAACTAGAAAGTTAAAGTTCGCAATCAAATGTCCGACATTATGTCGAGTTCAATTCTTCAATCTTCTTCCTCTTGTATCAACTGCAGTATTTTACACCTAGGCGTCCTTTGCTGCTTGTCTCTTACTCTTTCGTTGTCCGATTTCGTCCGTTTCTTTTGGCTTCGTCCCCTTTGGCTTCGGTTCTTCAATCTCTGTTTCCTTGAGTTCGAGAGAGCAAACAAGAGAAAGCGGCCTTTCAATCGTATGCCCCTTCGTCAAGATCTTTACTCCTCGCACAATGTTGTCCTTCCCCTTGATTAGCTCAACAACCTTTCCCCGTTTCCATTCAGCTCGATTCTTTTCCTCACCGACCACCAACATCATTTCTCCTACTTCTGGACACGCATTTTCCCCTTTAATCACTCGATGATGTTCCATCAAACTATGTACGTACTCCGTCTTCCATCTTTGCCACGCGTGTTCTCGTTCCTGCTTCTTTCGTTTGTGTAACTTCACGACTTCTTCTCCATCATCCGTGTCTGATTCGTCTATGGTAAGCACAATTTGTCCCCACAGAATTGTATTTGATGCGAGCACTTGTTCCTCTTCTTGCTCGCTTTCGACGTACGTCAATAGCCTATTGTTTACATTTTTCTCAATATCAATTACGATAGCTTGTAACTGGTCGAAAAATAATGTCGATCGAAGTAAGCGTGCGTACATTCCACCCCACCAAGGGGACTTGGATAGATTGAATCTCCACCCAACTTCTTGTCTTGCCAAATAATCGTGCAGTCGTTCACTTTTACGTATCTTTCTGATCCATAGCGCTGTCGCTTTGAACACTCCTCCGTTGTCCGACACAATCAACTTTGGTCTGCTCTTTCTTGCGACGAAGGCGTTTAGCTTTACTTTGAATTCCTCTGCAGATAGTGTCTTCGTCAACTCCAGATGCACGGTTCTGGATGTAGCACACGTAAATATTAGGATGTAGCATTTGCCTTCTTCTTTTTTGGTAAGCTTATATGTGAGAGGGGACCCGCGAAATCAACACCCGTTGTTTCAAATGGTAGTCCGCTTTCGATTCGAAACGTAGGTAGTTCGGCAGTTGCTGTACGACCATATGGTTTGATTCGGTACACTTCACACACGTTGCATTCGTTAATGATCCTTTTAACTTTCGAGCGCAGTCTCGGAATCCATCAGTTCTCTCTTAGTGCGGCCATCGTGTTCGCGATACCAAAATGACGCATCTCATTGTGTGTATGCATGATCAATTTGTCCGTAAAGTCTCCTCCTTCCAAGTATATCGGCTGATACCCGGGAATTCGACCTAAACATTTCAGTAAACCAGAATCACCTTCTCGTATGACTTCCCATCCAGATGCTCGAAGCTCCGAACTCATGTCTTCTTGGACCTTCTTCACCCATCGCACTTTCGACTGTTCTAGCTCGTTCGTCGTCAGCGGACCTTTCGCTAGGTTAGGTTTCTGTTTCCTGGCTCTTGCACTGCTTACAAATCTTAACACCTACGCAGTAACACGAATAGTCTTCCAGTAGCTTGATCTAGAAAGTAACAAGTCCCATTCGTCCGGACCTTTTTCTTGTGTATTGAAAGCTACTTCCGTCATCGGCTTTTGCTCGTCCAGGACAGTCTTTGTTCTCTTGAGCTTTGGTTGTTTTGGCCATTTGTCTGGGTTAACCAGCCACTCGGGACCATTAAACCAACCGACCTTTTCAATTTTGTGTCCGAGTATTTTGCTGGGATTTGACTCGTTGTCAAGTTCTTCAACATTCGACTCCCACTTGTGGACTGGGAACTTCGCGTCTTCTAGGATTTCTGTCGCTTCGCGTTTGAAATCTTCAAGATTGCAATATCACTTCCGGTCTTCATTAGATCACGGTTAGATTATCAACATTAGTGTTCTCTTTTAACGACTCAATGGTATTTTGGTACTCTTCAGGCTGCAGATTGAAGTGGTGTTGCAGGGTGGCACCAAGCATAAATGGGCTGGTTTCCACGCCGAAGGCACACGGGTAAATCTTAAATGTTCTACTGGACCGTTAGTGTCAAACAGAAACCGAAACGCATCTCGATCATCTTCCTTCAAACCAACCTGCAGAAATGCCTTCTGCAAGTCTGCGATTAGTAGATGGGTTGACATTCTGGCTCTGATTAATATGTCCCATAATAATGGTTGAAGTGGGGGCCAGTGTGCATGCATTCATTGACGCTATTGGCCGTTGGATGGGGTCTAGCACTTGCATCGAACACCATTCTCACCTTGGTTGTAGAGGCATTTTCTTTAATCACCGGTTTGTGTGGCATGTAGAACACACGTTCACTAGTCGAGCTCTCTTTGGTCTTTTCAATGACTCCGTCTTTCAACTGTTCATGTACAATTTTCTCGTATTCATCTTTGAGCTGTTGATTCTGTTTCAACTTCCTGTTTACTTTGTGGAGTCTCTTCCTACTGGGTTCTTCATTAGTGTTTGACAATACAGCTCCAGGTATCCACGGAACAGTAACTTCATATCTTCCGTCCTCTTTCCTAGTAATGTTTTCTTGGAATTCTGCATAAATTGTTGACTGATCTTTCTCCCCTCGATCCTCCACTCCCAAGACATCTAGGGAATAGAGCTGTTCATAGTCACTATTGTCACAAACATACAAGCACCTTGAGTCTGCGTAATCTTGGCCGCCATGAACTACCCAACCGAAGGTCGTTCCTTCTACAATTGGATCCTCTGATTTTCCCTTGTATACTTGATCAGTCCGTATTTTGCAATAGGTAGCATCGCCCAATATGACATGGATGGTGTACTCTTCGCTTTCTGACCGATAAAATGTCTTCTCGCGAAGATGTTCGTATTTCTCCTTTAACTCTATGAAAGTCGGTCTTTTCACCGTTGTAAAATCTGGCATTTCTTTACCAGTAATCTCGATATCCTCACTTGCCCGTCCATCAACTGAATTGATTGTTACTTCAAACACTGGCATTGATGCCTTTTTGGACCCGTTTACAGTTAGGATGTTTCTACTCTCATGGCGCTGGGGTGATAGTCTTAATTGTCGCACTGCTTCCTTCGAGATGAAATTTCTCCCAGAGCCCGTGTCAAGATACGCCCAAAATGTCTTACCCTTAATTTTAAGTGGCACAATAGCTGGTAAAGACTTCTCTTCAGAGGATGGGGAATATCCATCTAACATTGCGTTGTGGTTTTCTCGATTATTGTTTTCCTGCAGTTTATCACAAAGGCTAGTGTGATGTTTGCCCTTGCACTTGTAGCACCCCCTCCTGCGACAATTACTTTCGCGGTGGCCTGGTCGACCACAATTAAAGCACAGTCGTTTTTCAACAAAGAACTGTCTACGCTTAGTTACAGAGTCATACGATGTGCATTGGTCTCCCCAGTGCTGTCCTTCACAATAAATACAGACGGGCCCTTGCCTTTACCATTGGTAAACTCTCCCTTCTTTTGGGTATACCAGTTTCGCTCCCTCTTTCTTGGGTTTTCATGCTCCTTAGTTGGTACCTCTTCTGTTTTGTTACGCTTTAACAACTCCTGTAATGCTGATAACAATTGTTCCATGTTCCAATCTTCCCAATCATCATCAATACGTACTAAATCAAGCTTAACCTGGGGGAGTTTATTTAAGGTAGATACCACCAACCCCTTTAATTAACATAGCTTCTTCACCCAACGTTTGCAGTGCGTCATAGTTTTTGCAAAGACTTTCATAAAGTTCACATACCTTATCGTAATGTCTTCCTCTCACCGTCTGCAATTTAATAATTTCCTCCATATGAGCTGCAATTACTAATTTATTATGACCATATTCCATTTTCAACCTTTCCCATGCTGTTTTGTAACCTTCTGACCCGGCTTCAAGTTTGAAAGTCTACCTCTCACCTTCGGATTCACGAGCTCTAACAGGTACCCAAATTTCTCAGCGTCCGAAATGAACTTGCTGTCAACTTGTGAGGCAAACATATTCTCGAACCTTATCCAGTCAGCAGAAGTCCCATTAAAGGGTGATATTTTCAACTCTGGTAGTTTCGATGTACTTGCTTTAGCTTCTTTCTCCATCTGAATTTTCTTCTCTGCCAGCACCAACTCCGCTCTCATTCTTCCCACATTTCTTTCTCTTGTTGTTGGATCTGTTAACGCAGTTGCTCTTCATCTTTCTGATCGCCACTTCTTCCTCAGCTCTCAAGTTTTCATGTCTCTGTCTATCGTCTAGTACCCTACAAAACCTCGCACGTTTCTCACATAGTGGTGCATACTCAAATCTCTTGTCCACTGTCTAATCATCTTTGTGTTGAATTTCCCAGCTCAATTTTTAATTCTTGTAAATCGGACACCAAGTCGTTCATATTATCTTGAATCTGCTGTTTTCCGGCGCTTGCATACTTGTTTGATTTCATTAAAATCCTCACTTTCCAATAATTCGTCGACGTCCTCGAGATAAAACTGCAGCTTTTCAATCTCTTTTCTGATTCTTTTCTCCTGGTCTTCTCCTCTTGAGTGATTTCTACCGTATTATTCTCCTCAATTTCTTGTTGTTCAAGGACAAGGATATTCAAGTTCGTCCGCCATCTTAGATTTCGTAATACCCTCAATTTCTCGTCTTTATCCGCAAGTATTTCGTTATTCAATCCTGTTCACGGCACCAAAATGTGCCGAACTTGTGTCGGCACACTAAAACTCTCGTATTATGTTTTAGTAAAGTTTAATAAACTATAAAAACTCCCACTTTTTATACAAAACTCTCGCTCACAAGTCTCACATGTTCGTTGTTTTTCCCAATACTCAGGTCGACCGCGAACAGGCTTGTTTCCCACAGGTAACCCAATACACCTATCTTTAATATGTTCGTTCATGCATACATTTGCCCAAACGAAATTTTACTCGGGAGAGCTTCGCCATAAGTACCACAAACTAAAGAAGAGAAACTAAAAATCTTAGTAAGCGTGTAGAATTCGTGCAGACAGGGCCGTACACAGCGGGGGGCAAGGGGGGCAACTGCCCCCCTCCCCCAGAGAAAACTATATTTACAATTTTTAGAGTGTCATTATTAATTATTCTTTGGATATTTGGGACTATAGGCCTCACTGCCCCTCTGATGAAAAAATCCTGCGTACGGCCCTGCGTGCAGAAGATTGTTGATTCGTTCTGGCGTTGCTGGACACGTGATGTTTTCCGGCCCGACTTTGTTTTCGCCTAAGAAATGGAACACGACGACCCGTGATGTTCGAGTTAACGACGTAGTTATGGTCGCTGATGACAACGCGTTCCGCGGAAAATGAACAGTTAGGAGTCGTCACTCGCCCTAAATAATTTAGGACGAGTGACGAAAGTTAATCCAGGAAAAGACAAACGAGTCAGGAATGTATAAACGGTCGGCATTGCATCTGGGAGAGAATACAGCGAACCGATAACAAAGATAGCAGTTATACACCACAGCAGAAGATTCTGAAGAATGAGAATACCCTCATTGGGCGGGAGAGTGTTTTGTCAGGCACTCAAGGACGTAACAATTGCATGATATAATTACGTACATTTTAATATATTAGTTCTGTTAGTTTAAATTAGTTTATAAGACAATATATCTTGTCAGTCTTGACATTTACATATATTGCATGTTCAAGATCCTTGTTTAATTGAGATGAGGAACTGCGGTCGAAAGGACCTACTGGAAAACGCGAAAAGGCTAACCTGTTTTTAAGACTATATTCTATTTATTCTGCTAACCTGTATTCTGTACTGTTTGAACGTAGTCCTAGTGACCAAAAGAAGTAAGTGACATTTATAGAACTTCAATGATTTGTTATATAAATTTGTGGTATGTATAAAAGTACATAAATTTATTACCCTTTACTTATAATCATTTTGTATATAACTTTAATAGATCGAATAGTATGAATATCAGTGTCAGTCTGTATAAATATAATAAATATTCAAAATACGGGCAACGGGTCCGACTACATTTGGCGAAAGGAGCGTACGACTCTGACGGACCAGCAATCTATGACATTGAAAAAGGGTATAAAATTTTGTTTTATCTACATTTTATCTATAAGACTGAATGAATCAGTTGCAAGAAAAATGTGCAATAGAACTTTGACTTTGAACACTAAAAGTCGCCCCCACTTATGTTAATCGCCGCCGTCAGTTGAGATGCCATGGTGTTTAATTACATTCGAAGACACCATGCATGCATGTTTTATACATATATTATAATGGAGTCCTACCGAAGCGACAGAATAATTGATTATCTGCTTGAATATTAACAGCTTCTATTTGATCCGAAATGAAGGGTGCTTTGACAGTTGTCGGCGGAGTTTTTATTCATGTAGCTTTGGGGGTCTTGTTTACCTTTGGTGAGTAATAATTTAACATATAAACTAAGAACTTAGTATGCCGAGTATATAATCTTGAACTGCTTGTGCCAGTGTAAGTAGTGGCAATACGAACAAGCTTTCGTTTGTAGGGATGCAACTACCTGAAGAATATAAGGAGAATTTCGACGTTTCGAGCGAAGGCCCTTCGTCTGGAGTTAATGCCCAGTGAACTTGGTCTAGCAAGATATATATATATATATATATATATTTAAAGAGGCATATGCATTGAAGTGTATCTAAGATGTCATTTGATATTTGCACCCTTTTCTCTGCAATATATGTATACTTGATGTAGACTTGATTTTTCCACTTTTTTAGTAAAACAAGGGAGTCTATAACTATATATAAATATAATTTTATTTATTATATAAACAATATTTCATATTAAATATGTACAATAATACGCCAAGTCAGATATAGGAAATACCATACGGTTGATGATGCATATATACAATATACTACAACAATGAAAATGGTTGGCTGCTAACACAGATCAATGCACTGATCAATCAACGTTTAATTTTAATAGTCACGCATTGTTACGCACGGGGAATTTCAAGCCTAAAGGTTTGATTATGATAGAATACATGATAGAGTGGGAAAGCATTAAGAACATGTCGAACAGATGTCCATGGTCGCTTGACAATGACTGCCAACTCTCGTGCACTCTCATCCTCGTAACCTCGTTTGACACTGTTTGATCTGGGATATACATACATAGTTTACATATCTTTTGGAATGTCCGGTTTCGAACGCCCGCACGTGGATTTATTTCATTAATTATCTTTCTGGCAAATATTCGTTATGTTTTCTACTGGCACTAAAGCCCGGCACACACTGGATCTATCAACTGAGCTGAGCATCACTCGTGACTGTTGGCGTAAAGGCCATTTTCCATTGCAGTCGTTTTGCCCGCGCGGGCGGAGCGAACATTACTCAACTTTCTCTCTAGTTGTCTAATCTGTGCATTTCTTGTCCGCCTGACTGCTCGCGGACACGCCATGAAAGTAGAACTACATTCAACTTTCTTGGCGTGCCCGCGTGACTGATTTTTCACGCGATTAAAATTGGTCGCTGCACCCGCGCGGTCAAAGCGACCGCAATGTTGTTGCCTCAAAGTGATGCCTATCACAGCAATATGACTGATATAATTGTATGTCTTCAGGGCTCAGAGGGTCGTGGTTCCCCCTGTTGGACATTACCCAAGGGGTTACGATTACAGCCGTGGTGGGAGTTGGACTTTTTCGTCCATGGGGAATACACATGCTGTGTATTTGTGAGGATGGAGTGTTCCCAAAGGTCACCCTCAACCCCATAGACTCAAACAAATCAATGTATTGTACAGTGTATTGTAAAGTAAACAATGACCATACTGGGATCTACTACCCCTTGGACATTTAGGATGCCCATCTCGGGGATCTAATACTACAGCTAGAACATCAGTGAGGCCAGGAAAAACCTGCAATATATATACAGGAAACCTAGATGGGGCCAAGACAACCAGTCATTTCCCCACAAAGCTTCTATCTTACAAGTTCTTATTCTTAATTGGAGGGTTGGTAACACGACAAACAAAGCTGACCATCATTTTTTTATTTATTTCCCCTTAAGATTTAATTATGTCATTGTGTTCGTTAAACAATTTTGCAACATGTATTTGTTAACCCCACTTATTTGATTGAATTATGATTGGTGGAACTGGACATAACACATACTCTCAAATAATGTGACATTAATCTCAGAAAAATCGCTTGTTCATTATTTTAAAATAGCAGGATCAAAATTCAAGTCAGGTGTTTATATTAACCACAGTGTTGTGATTGAACATGCAATCATGCATGCATGAGAGTAGCAGAGATTGTAAGAATATGTATTTGGTAGACTAAATAGATCATGCATGCAGTATAGTGATAAAACATTAATTCTTTTTCACGAGTATCGACATACATTGTATCGTACCAATCTTTCATGATATCCAACTTGTCGATTTATCGCAAATGTAGATAAAGTGAAAAACCCCAGAGTTTTAAGCCTAGCGCACACTGGTGCACTTAGCACGCACACATGTCATTCGTGACAATTGTGGTTTACACATAATCCTAGTCTGCGGGGACCAATTTTGGATTGTCTCAGTCATTCGTGTCGTATCAAACGTGTTTGATATTTTCTGTCACGCGTGACAAAATGTGCCCAGTGTGCGCTGAACAAATGCGAGCAATTCATGCAGCAAGAAATATGCAAGTATATTAACTTCAAAGTTCAATAGAAGAAACTTGTATAAGTATGGGGGAACAACGCAGTGAACTTGTTGCCGAAGCAATTTTAGAAGTCAAACTTTGTCTATATGTGGCCCGAATTTCCATGTATTTATAACGTGCGCTCGCCAGATTTCAAAAATAGAGGTCTACGAGAAAAGGCTTTTGAAGAAATTGCGGAAAAGTTGGGACAATCCGGTAAGTCTTTACACAAATTAGATTATGCATCAACATTTTATGCTTGTTTCATGTGCATCATTTGTAATAATTTCGTGTATCTCTTTACTTATTAAAGTGACCTGGGTCAAAGCAAAAATTAAATGAACAAGCTACACAAGAAGCAAAAAGCAGGCGTCAAGTGGCAGTTCTCGAAAAAAACCCACCAAATGGACAAGCTGACTTGCTGAAAAGTTACAATTTCTTGAGCCTTTCGTTGCAATTGGAACACCGATCTCGATCATGGATTATGTAATTTTTTTTTTTAAAGTCTTCATTAACAATATAAACGGCCGGTACCAATACAGGTATAAGTTTTAAATTCCAGCCATATATATATATATATGTATTTAGCTGGATTAAAAGTATTTTGAAGAGTAATTAATTAGAGAGATTACTCGGGTTAGCTGAATTTATTCATATATAAATTTGCACACAATATTGAATTAAATATGTTCTGGTTAGTTAATCATAATGTCTTGCCATGGAACCATCCCATGGTTACTGAAAAAAGTTGTCAGTAGTTCACGTTGCGTTTTAGCATTTCTTGAATGGCTACGATCTGTGCTGTATGGATCTATTGCAGTGATCCACACCATGATCTATCTGTAAGCGTATGATCACTATTTTCTACATCAGCTACGGATACATAGTATAGCCTTTGTTACGTTCAACCAAATATTTATGCAAACAACACGCTGCCAGAATTAGATGTGTTATCTTTTCCGGCTTTATTGTTGTTAGAAAAACTCTCCATCTGTTCGCATGCAAAGATACCGAACGCATTTTCAACAACACGCCTGGCACGTGAAAGACGATAGTTGAATACGCGTTTTTCTTTATCTAAATGTCGGTGTGGATATAGCTTCATGAGATGTTTGCTCATTAGGAAGGCATCGTCACCAACAATGTAGTAATATATAGTGAAAGAAACAATTCCTTGAATAGAAGCTGGTGGTGGCAAATTGAGCTGGTTTTCAGCCACAGCTTTCATCAAGGTAGAATTATTGTATACACCAGCATCTCCTGCTCGTCCTGATGCGCCAACATGTATGTAAATAAATTTATAATTGGCATCAGTACAAGCCAAGAACAGAATGCTAAAGAAGTGTTTGTAGTTAAAAAATGCTGATCCACTTCCACTAGGCTGCTGTATCGCGATGTGCTTTCCATCGATGGCTCCAATACAGCAGGGATAGTTCCATTTTTACTCAAATTGTTCAGCTACATTCAACCACTCCAATGTGGTGGAAGGTGTCTGAAAAAAAGAATTTCGAAACATTAAATTCAGCTTTTTTTTAGGACATTTTTGATGCACAATCTTATTCTTCTAAAATGGATGAAATAGACGCAGAACTCTTCGAGGTAGACGATAGCTGCGGTCAAAACGACTCGGAAACATCAAGCAACTTGTTAGAAAATGTCAATACTGTCCAGTTCACAAAATCGACAAAGGAACCATTAAAAGTAAAAGCAAGCAGAAAGAAGCAGGCCGAAGAAGAGTTCAAATTACTTAAAAATCTAGCTGTTTCCACTGGAGAAAGAAAAGCGAAGAAGGCAAAGTTAGGGACCCAGAACAATGGTACAGCTGAATATGCTTTTGGTCGTTATGTGGTCCATGCGTTATCTGAACTTGACCCAGCCACAAGAATTTTTTCCCAACATGAAATCATTAATATTTTGTTCCAAGCTCAAACTGGAGAACTTAGGAGCAAGCACAGTATCAGAACGCTCCCACCTTCGCCAGTTATACAACCACAACAACAGACCTTTCAGCCAATATCTAGACCAAACATTATTCCCAGACCGTCAGCAATCCTTAAGTCGTCAGACCATCATTCTTCGGCACGAATAGTCAACCATGCAGTAGTATACCATCTATAGAGACAAGTTTTCACCATGGCCCTCGATCCTCGATGGAACAATCTCGTGGTTATGCCGACCAGAACTGGTGTAAAGTTTTAAATGAAAGGGAGTCTATATTTATTTCATCTTGTGGCCAACAGCAAGAAGACACAGTGGAATAATAAATTATTCACATGTAGACTGCAGTGAAGACGTTGTGTAGCCTGTGGCAACTTATGGCAACTATCGTTATGTTATAATGAAAGTACTACACGTTTGTAAAAGTGTTGTGTAAAAATTTAAAATGATAGTCACCTTCATATATTGTTGTTTCAGTGCAATGTAAAGTGCCTGACAGGTCTCTTCGACCATTTCCGAGATAGTTCTCTCGCCAATTTGAAATTGAAACGATAGACTCCTGAAAGTCTCTTCTGGGTATAGAAAGAGGAATCGAGCCATGATAGATGGATACACCTTTATTGCAGCAGGACAATTTTTTTCGGTACGGGCGGCCTTGTTATCAATAGGATTTACGCATCACAGAATATGTACGGCATAATTGCAAAAATTATAATGCAGGTGCACGTGACTCAAATAGAACAAATTATGAAGAGCAATTTTCACATTACCTCATTTCAAACAAGGAATATGTGAATTGGTAAAAATTAATTCCAATATCAAATTTTTTCCCAATGTTTGCATGCCAAAAAGTATTAATAAATCATTTTGTGAACAGAACAACATAAACCTCTACTAATGGCTCAAACGGTATTACTTTATCATTTTAAACATAATATTAATGCAGGCAAAGAACTCTTAAACGTGCCTTTCCCAAACCTATTGCTAGAAAACGTAGAGTAACAGAAAGACGCTCACAAGGTTTAATCGCAGGTCGCAAATGCGTTTCCTTTTTCGATATAAAAGAAGATACCATCCCCAAGATATGTTCAAACGATTCCCGATCAAGCCGATGAAATTGCCTGAATTTCTCAGGATATTCATAGGCTGCCCAAAAGTGCGTGTTGAAATTTTTACCCTCGCGCGTGGCGCTCGGGCATGCATCGAGTTTACTCAGTTTATTATTATGACATAATAATAAACTGAGTAGACTCGATGCATGCCCGAGCGTCACGCGCGAGGGTAAAAATTTCAACAAGCACTTTTGGGCAGCCTATGGGATATTCAGCATTTGTTTCTCTCACAAGATTGTTAAACGCCCCTTGAACATTGTTTCTCAAAATCCATCGTTTCGTCCATACTTGACGATTAGCTGTCTCCTGCGCCGTCGCATCAGCAAAAGTAAAAGCAAAATTTCTTCGTCTTCAGACAAATAGTCGTCGTATTCATTCTCCATGTTTAGTTTCTTCAATTGAAGTTAATATTTGCATATTTCTTGCTGAATGAATTGCTCGCATTTGTTCAGCGCACACTGGGCACATTTGTCACGCATGACAGAAAATATCAAACATGTTTGATAATTGGATTTTACGACACGAATGAGAAACAATCCGAAATTGGTCAGCGCAGACTAAGATTATGTGTAGACCACAATTGTCACGAATGACATGTGAGGTTTTAGTAGTTTAGATCTTAAATTTCTCTCACACATGAACTTGACTTCCTATGACTATGTTTTGACCAGTAAAGTATTGATAATGTATACAGGACAAATTAATGTTTTGTTTTATTAAATTAAAAAGTGCCCTGAAATAGCTAGAAAGGAAGTTTTATATAATCTACTTTTGAATGATTGAATGCAGTTTAATGTGTCGCTTTATTGAAACCCTATCTAACACCGAATCAAATGCTCAATCTGGCAGGTTAATAAGTTAATAACGTCAAGGTGGTAATAAAATTGACATTGAAATACAGATCGATTTAGCGTGAATAGTCGATACATTTTGCGTTCGACAATTACTATGCCCGAATTCGGTGATAAAATAGACAAAGTTAAAGCATTTTGGTTGGGTTGAAAAGCGGAATACGAAGCAAACGTGTGAATTCACCGTATACTTACGCACCAAATAATATATAACCGTTTCAATTAAGCATGTGCATACATTGATACACGAATGATATCGAATGACGCTTGTTGAATTCGTGTTTAGCCTCTCAATCTTGTTGGTAATAACTTCATCGGTACTTGAGCCAACGTATTCCTTTGTCCACCAGAAGAGTGAAAGCGCTTGCCCGCAGCAGAGTTATATTTGAATAAACTGCGTCTCACTGAATCATACATCAATACTGAGAGCCGCTGCGCAGGCTATGAGCCAACATATTCCTTTGTCCACCAGAAGAGTAAAAGCGCTTGCCCGCGGCAGAGTATATTTGAATAAACTGCGTCTCACTGAAACTGCGTCTCACTGAGTCACTAACCATTGTTCTATATCCACGAAATATCTTTTCCAGAAGTATAATTTCTAATTTTCAAAAGTACTTTGCCACGGAGGTCATACACTTTTGCTTGCAAGTGACACAATGCTTACTGATCCAAGCAGGAAACTATACAGACGAAGAGGTGAAACCTGATTGGTCTATTTTCCCGCACGCATGGGAAGAGATTTGACAATGGTTTGTTGTTAATTCAGCCTTGCGCTTTGCACGTGTATGATCCCACGGTTCACAGATTGACCTTTGTACCAGACCTTTGTACTCCAGGGGACTTTGCACAACTTTACTCTTGTCCGAACGCTTGTTTCATTAAATTAATTTAAGTTTCTAATGCTATGGGCATATATAAACTTGCTTTGAATAATTTCAGTCACGAATGAACATTTCCTCTAAGTGTGCGCACTCGAAAAGCTATCACCTTTCATTGTAGATCGAACAGGCATGCGTAATAAAACATAAAACAAAAGGAAAATAATTAATGAGGAATGTAAAACTTGAGTAGCGACATATATATATATATCCCTCATTAATTATTTTCCTTTTGTCTTATGTTTTATTACGCATGCCTGTTCGATCTACAGTGAAAGATGATAGCTTTTCGAGCGCGCACACTTGGAGGAAATGTTCATTCGTGACTGAAATTATTCAACACGTTGAATATTCGGTGCCGATGGCAGGCGTGGCTGAAATCGCTCAAAACGCCACCGCACACTTGGGGAACTTGCTTACGCCAACAGTCACGAGTGACCAGGGCCGTACCTAGACGCGATAATTGGGGGGTATATTCATATATTCATGTTCACATACCGTAAACATAGGTCCGCTGTGGCTGACATGCATCTACTGATTACTGAATAGAATAGTAGCACTGGGAAATAAAAGGCATTGAGCAGATAAAAGCATAGATGTGCACTCTGACCTTTGGAATCGATTTCTGGCATTTCCAGAGTCATAGCGCAAGCACAACGTGACAAACGTCGCATTGTTGATGTTTTAAAATTGTATTTCCGGTTGGGATTGCTAGTTTGTATTCTTTAATCTATGGTTTGTTGTTGTTGTTGTTAGCTCACAGTCGGGCCAGAAATCGGAAATTTTTATATATCGTGATAAAACTAAAAGATACAAATTTGAAGATACAATCTCGAAAATATAAACACTCCACACAGTAGTTATTGATAATGATTCGAACAAGAATATTGCAATGACTTCTAAAGGGGCCGAAGTTATATTTTTGTTCAGACAATTGCGTAATTTGATATACGATCTCGCTTGACTTTCAAAGGCCATAAATCGCGACAATGTTGATAATGGCTAAAATTGTTGTGAGAAATTAGTTAATATTGTTTCACTGAATCGAATGATGGTATTATATGTCTTCATAGCATGCACTGAACTAACCTAGCACTGAACCGAAGATATGAACAATACATACAAAGTCGTCGAGAAAGAGTAACAATTGTGTAATTTGATAACATGCGATCTCGCTTGACTTTCAAAGGCCATAAGTCGCTACAATGTTTATCAAAGGCCATAAGTCGGGATCGTAGCCAGGATTTTTGGTCAGGGGGGGGCAGCAAAAACCCAGGTGGGGCCAAAAAAATTTCCGGACGACAACATTTTAAATCTCTCCGACCAACCTCCCCCCACCCCCCGACACCTTTTTTGGTAAAAAAAATTTCCGGACATCACAATTGCTTTTCTAGCACTTTTCCCAATTTCCATATCACTTTTTCCGATGCTTCACCACAAAGATTCCGACAACATTGACAATTTTCCGACGGGTCTCAACTTGAAGCTATATAATCAAGGATTCCCTTTTTTATTGCTGCGTAGCGAGCGAGCCTGAAGCGAGCGAGCGTAGCAACGTTCTAATATGTACAGAGAGGGGGTTTTGAAGTAAATTTTAGTTAGCCAATTGTATTGTGGTCGATATACAATATTTGAGGCGTATTTGAAGAATATCGTTTAAGTGAACATAACAAATCCTACAAGGAGATTGGTCAAATTTGACGTATTAAATCTGTTATATTCACCTACAGGTGAATATAACAAAATCGAAATTTTCAAAATGGCGGCTAGCCGTTTTGTTGAGGTTTATAGTGATAAAGAAATAAGCGAAATTAAAATGAATTCAGACAAGAAAAACACAAAAAAACTTGTGCAAAACTACTAAAACAATTATTGGCCTCAGACTGGGTGATTATCGGGGAATATTCACCTCGACTTCGTCTCGGCGAATATTCCCCGATAATCACCTCGCCTTCGGCGAATAATTGTTCATTGTTTTGCTTGCTTCGACTTGTAAATTATTTTGACTCAGGCACTCGGCGTAAGGTTTAGTAAAGTATTAAGCCCTGTAAAAGCCATAATTTAGTGTATAAAATAACGTGACTGCACTTCGTGCGTTGTTCACTCAATGGACTTTGACCACTGTAAGTTCTATATTTTAATTTATTATAAAGTTTTGGTTTCTTAGTTTAATACTGTGTATACAATGTAGTAAACGCGCCTGGCAGTATTAGACTTGAATAATATGAAATCAGATAGCAAAAACTTGTGTTATATAATTTAACTGTACGTCTTAATAAGAATGCGTTGTCGTTTGTATTTATACGCGTACTAAAGCAGCGCGTACTAAATTCAACAAATTCCACCTGATCTTGAAAATATTATATATTCTTGCTTATGATTTAGTGAATATTACTTCCATAAACATCAACATTAACATTAACACGCCTATCTGTAATCTGTGATTGCTCTTGAACCCGTGCATCAGGGCTGCATAATATAGCGGACCGTGGCCAGAAAATTTTTGAGGTTGGCAGAAAAAAATGGAGGGTAAAACTTAAAAGTCTCAAAAGAAAAAAAGTAAAGAGAAAGAAAGAAAGGAAAAACAGAAAGGGAGAAAATGAGAAAAAATTACATAATTGAATAATAAGCTGTAGGTAGTGAACTAGTGATGTTTGCAACATGTAAGTAATACAAGTTTCCAATATACCGGTACAGGTGGCATTCCAGCAGCCTGATATTATGGTCAAAGACAGGCAGACAGCAGT